GTATGGTAAAACTATATTTACTACTAACTTTTTTATGATTCAATATGTATCACAAGTAGAAGAGAGTTTCTGAGTGATGGTTGCATCATCTGAGTGGAGAGTTATGAATTATCGCAATAGTAAAAATGATACAAAAATCACATAAATAATTAAAATGTCCAAATTTTGGAATGATGCGACAGATGCAATCACTATATTAACGCCTCTTATCAAAGTGCTTCATTTGGGTGATAGTGAGGAGTCATGAAGCAATGGAAAGGGCAAGGGAAGCACTAAAGAGAAACTGTAATGACAATGAATTTAGGTATATTGAATTGGTGAATATGTTTGAAAAGAGACGACAGGGAAATATAATTCACCTTATTCATCCTGCTACTGCATTTCTTAATCAAACTTTAATGTATGGTGGGTTTGTTAAACTTAATAATACTTAAGTGAATAATGGCTTTACCTTGATTTCAAATTCAATGCTCCAAGTAAAACTAAAAACTGCATTTTTTTTTAGAGTTGTTGAAGTATCATATACGGGATTCAAATATATTTGATGGTGTTGCATTGGGATTATTGTCAACAACTCATCCTCATAAGTTTCTTAATTAATTATTAACTTTTTGTATCTTCTTGTATTATTTGTTTTTTCAGTATTTTAAGAAAATAAATTTTATCCCATTTTCAATTGTTTTTTGAGTGTGTGGCTAAAAATTTCTCATTTATGTAGGAGTTTAGTGGGAAGTAGGTGGATAAAGCATTCCACTAGTTCAAATAGTTGCCATTTGGATTTTGAGCCAACCATATAGCTCATCGCGCGTGCGAAAGAAATTGGAATGCTTTTGAAACGACTCAAAGAAAAAAAATGAATAAATTGACACCAACTATGTTTAATCGACTTGATTTACATACGAGTGAATTCGAAGATGATGGCCGCATCACGTGATAATGAAATTCGAGATTGTAATGCAATTAATCTTGAACAACTTTGTTCATTACTATAAGAGGTTTCCAAACATGCGGAAAATGAGGACACATCTTCAGATGATGATGATCATGATGATGATGATACATGGCTACATGACTTGGGGATTACACCTTCCCGATCTCATAACTTTTCTTTGACTCTACCATACCTTATGCTTAATTTTGAATATTTCTAGTTAATCTTGTATTTAATATTGGATGAGAATCATGAGATATCTAAATTAATTGACTTAATTATATTAGTTTAGTAAAGTTTTTATGAATGGATTAGTTATTGATAGTATTGACATAATTTTTATTTTTTAGAATTTCAAAATTTCTAACATTTTAACTTATCTGATTTTTTTACTCCGATTTTTTGAGCCTAATCCAATATATTGGAGATATCTTTACATGAAGTATTTTGCCGATCCATGAATTTTTCATCTGACTTTTAAAATAAAAATGATTTATTTTTTTCGCTTTTATGGTAAGCCGATTTATTGATAGTCCCCGACTTGCTAACTATGATCTAGACAACCCCTTTTGAAGATTTTAAAGTGCATTTAGATCTACTTGATTTGCATTATATTTGGAGTTTTGAATTTCATAATCAAGGCTAGAAATGATTTTTCAGGGTACCATAGGGTTTTTGTGCCAAATATGCATTTTCTTGGAGGATTTGGAGGTACACATTACTTTGATTGTTTATAGCAAATGCTTATATGAACTACACCATTTTAAGTAGGGTGTGATTTGTATAGAGCCTAGGCTCTAAACAATCAAATTAGAGCCTACCTTCAAATAGTATTGATAAATATTGTTTCAATATTGAAAATCTTTGTGATAGCCTTAAAATATATTTTCATCTTTATTTATAAATTTTAAAGTTTCAAAAATAGTATAGATCGATGGATCTATGAAAACTTGGAAATCTTGAAACTTGACGGTAAAAAAATGCATTACACTATTTTCAAAACTTGAAATCCATTTTTCTTTTCATGTCTATGCATCTGGATGTCGAGATGATCAATTTGATGATATTTAGGCATCAAAACAACTTCTACTAGTAAAATTTTTGAGGTAGGCTAAAATTTGATTGTGTAGAGCCTTGGCTTTATAAACTTTTCCTTTTTTAGTAGAAGTTATATATTTGAAGCATCATTCCCTTTAAGTAATATATTTGAAGCATCATTCCCTTTAAGTAATATATTTGAAGCATCATTCCCTTTAAGTAATAGGTGGAAAATTGAATCATTTATCATGTCAACTCTAAGTTGACAATAAAATAAAAATTAAGAATCACAATTGAAACATGTAAAAAAAAAATAAGAAATAGGAGGACTCCCTTTCACCCTTTCCTAAAATTTCAAATCTCTCACTTGAACTGAAATTGATAGTTTTTTTTTATAAGTAATATATTTATTAGAATGATTAAAAAAATACAAGTGTTTTTAATATTGCAGATTGTTTAAAGATAAAAACATGTCCCTTATTTTTCCTATTTTATGCACATGTCCCTTTTTCATTTTTTATTTTCCCCAAAATACCACTAGTTTGGGATGCCAAGTTCGGAACTGATGCTTTTTTTTTTCTCAACCGAGGGATTAGTTTAAAACTTCAAGTTCCGAATCATTTGTTTTGTGAGCCAATTGGTTTGGAAGTTGAAATTCTAAGCTAGTTATTCAACCAAAAAAATTGTGTCACCTTTCGGAACATGAAGTTCCAAATCCCTTTACTTATCATTTTTTGGGGTGAACGAGTGTTTGGAACTTTAATTTTTTTGAACTCTGCATTCACTCAAAGGAAATGAGAAAAAATTAAAAATATGCAATTTTGAAGTTGGAAACTTCTTTGGTTTATGCGATCTTCTTTGGGCCTTCTGTGATCAGTGCTTGGCCTTCTTTGCGATATATGAATTCTCTACGATTTGTGAAATCTTCTATGATCTCTATTTGGTCTTCTGCGACCTACCCGGACATCTCTAATTGGTCTTCTATGACCTACCCGGACTTCTCTGATCTCTGCTGGGTTCTTGCGGAAACCATTGATGTCGTGCTCCCTCCGATGCTAGACCTTTGGTGAGCCGAATTTGAAATTGCCTCTAAATCCACCTCTAAAAATGGCATATGAAAATAGTCGTTCTTCGACTATCTGCCGAGTGGTTATTCAACTATCTACCGAGTCGTTATTCGACTATCCGTCGAGTCGTTCTTCGACTATCTGTCGAGTCCTTCTTTGACCATCTGTTGAGTCCTTCTTCGTCTCTCTACCGAGTCCTTCTTCGACTGTTTGCCAAGTCCTTCTTCAACTCTCTAAAAGAGTCTCTACAAAACAACCTTTGTCTTTGTTCTGAACTGCAAGTTGCTGAATCTGTCTCGGTTCCTTACCGAGTTCTGTTGGCTCTTTCAAGTACCATTCTATACTTGTTCTTCAAGTGAGAGACCACTGCTTCTATTAGTCACACCATGCATGTGAAGACTTAAAGATCCAACTCATTTGTTTATGCAACTTATTGTTTAAACTCCAACTGCTTTGTATAAAAACATATTGAGTTTGAGGGGTAGTATTAGAGTATGTTTTATTGATATACATCATTATGAATATATAATGAGATATGTATATATATGACATACATCTCTTAGTTGTATCTTGATTATGATAAGATTAGTCAGTAGTTATCCATAACCGTTGGTATTTATCTTTTATGGTTACTAACCGTATATTTATACGGATCTTGTATATTCTTGATCAATCAATAAAGAGATAATTCCATGGGGGCTTAAGGTCCAAATATATAGAAATACAATTTCTTATCATAGATCTTGAAGTTTTGAACCAGCTGGTTTAAAATAAAATCAATTTGAAACTTCAAATTCCAAACATTCTCTCAATCAAATAAAGAAATACCTTAGTTGGAATCTTGGAGTTCCAAACTGAGTATTTTCAAAAAATAAGAAAACAAAAGTGGACAAAGTGTAAAATAGGCAAAGCAAAAAAAATCCATTTATATAACAAAAAAGTAATGGATATTTATAGTAACTTTCTAAAATAAAATAAAAACAATAATTATTACAAATAAATGAAAATAGAATAAATTCCATCTATTAGTAGTAGCAAACGTGCCAATCCTTAATCAACTGCAAAACAAAAAAAATCCATTTATATATAAAAAAGTAATGGATATTTATATTGACTTTCTAAAATAAAATAAAAACAATAATTACTGCAAATAAATGAAAATAGGATAAATTCCATCTATTCATTGTAACAAACGTGCGCCTTCCTTAATCAAACCTCAAACAATCCTTCGTAATATTCTAGGATTTGTTCTTTCTTAGCCTGGGCCTTTTACGACAAGTCCAACTCTCAAACTCTCGACAACGTACTCATCCAATCTCCACCGTTTATATATTTTAGATATAATTTAACCCTAATTTTTAGAAAATATAAAATGAAAAAAATAAATTGAAAACTAAACTTCGAAAAACCTTTGGACCACTGGTTACAATTGTTTTTAAATAGGCCACCTTTTTACATCCGTTTTTAAAATGGATGCACACTCCGGACAATATATTGTAGAAAAGAAAAAGTTTATATAAGATTGCAACCTTACCTCTACAGCTATGGATCTACCTCAAAAATCAGTTGGAAAAGATAGTTTTAATGTTGAAAAACCTTTTGATTGATCATCTCAACATCGAGATATATGACCATAAAAAATAAAAAGATTTTAAATCTAAAAAATAGTGCATTTTATAACATATTATTTATACAATCCATGTTCAAGATTTTCATTTGTTTATAGAACTACTTGATTTTAATTATTTTTAAAATTAAAAATTTTATAATTAAATAACAAAATAGATTTTGAGATTAAAAACATTTTACATCAAAATTATACACCATCATAAAATTTGAAGGTGAACCTTACCTCTACACCAACGGATGCATCCGTATGCCAACTGCACCGCTGTAGCCATGCGGTCCAGTCCCGCATGAAACAATTGCTCATTAAATTTTTTAATATTAATTACTTTGCATCACGCTGCAAGCTTCGCCGATTCGCCCCTTCTCTCTCTCTTTCTCGAAATCCCTCCTCTCCTTCTCTTTCTCTCTCTATATCCCGCCTCACGCTCTCTCTAAATCCGTCGAGAAAACCGAGACAAAGGATCCCCTCTCGCTCTCTCTAGTCCCTCAAGAGAAAAGAAACGAAGGATCCTCTCTCTTTATCTCTCGCCCTTTGGCTCACGGATCAATCTTCACAAGAAGGTAAGCAAGAATCCATGGAAAGTCCCATTAATTTTTTTTTTATCTCATTTTATTAGATTTATAACTCTTAATCATATTGTCACAAATGTCACAAATCAGGTCATTTTAGGTGTGGCTCCTCCTTTAAAATTATTCGATGGAGTGATTGGATTTTTGAGTAATTTATTTGATGATATTTTTCCCCTTTTTTTTTTGGGGTTATCAATATGTGTAAATTGCTGTGAATTTCAGGTTTTTGGGGGTAGAAGTTGTTGCAATTATGGGTGATCGATTAGTTTATGTAGTTTGTTCATGTTTTTGGTTTGGTTTAGGTCTGCGAAGAGTTTGCCTGACTCTGACGATTTCGGTAAACCAAAATATTGTATTAGTTTGGGTATTGGAAACATTCGGCCTGAATATCAGGAATTAGGTCAACTAAATGCTCGATGGTTTATACCTACGGTGTTCAAGCCCGATAGTACAATAATTTATGCTGAATTCTTTTCTTTTTTATTTTTTTGGTTTCTGTTATGTATGCTGAATTCTTTTCCTTTATGGAGAAATGCTCATTTGGTTTGCAGGTTTTTGCTGCAGGATGTGTGGGGGGGGGGCGTAACTTGGTAATCTCTTCAAAAAAAATCAATCCCCAAAGCTAGCAAAACGAACAATATTTTATCAATTCTACATTGAATGTCCATGCAGTTTATAAACCGCCGATGAAGTTCCGATCTTGCAACGAATTTCACAAATTCGGATAAATTTTCTGTGAGTTCATTAATCTGATTCATGGATTTGAATGCTTATCTTTAGTATTTAAGAATTGGATCAGGCTTTGTGCTGATCGACCAAAGAAAAAGAAAAGGTTTAATTCCAACCTTGCATCTGGATTTGGATAAAATTCATCATTTCAGATCAAAGTTTTGTATGAGTCCAACTAATTTATACAATTTTTGTGCCTTCACCAGATTAGCTCTTATTGCAACCGTATAAATAAATATAAAAGGTCTAATCCCCCCCCGCCAAAAACATCTGGTTTAGTATGTAAGGATAGGTCGAACTAAAAGTCGGTTGTCTATGGCGACGGCTACCATGGCTACAGCGGCTGGGGCTGCCGCCCTTCTTTACTATACACTAAGCCGAAGATTAGCCACTGCATCAATGCGAGAAGACAATGAAGATGAGAACTCTGATGCCTCAAGATCTAATCGGTCAGGAAGGATCACGTCTGTGAGGCGCCCTGCACAGGCACCTGCTACATGGTTTGAGGCCATATCGACGCTTTCGGAGACCTTGCGGTTCACTTACTCTGAAACACTGGGGAAATGGCCAATAGGGGACCTGGCTTTTGGCATCACTTTTCTATTGAGGCGACAGGTGCATGCTATGAAACCATGTTTTCTGATTTCCTTGCCTAAAAAACTATGTTTTTCTTTTCCTCTCACTTCGCCTTTTGAGGTGATTATCACTTTCTTAATCTTTTTGTTCTTATTCTTTTCTGTCTTTCTATGTGACAGATAAATGTGTTAGACCCAGATTCTATGTTCTCTCTCTAATTTATAGGGATTATCTGTTGAGTGTTTTTTTTATTGATTCAAGTCCTATACAATATACTAGGTGCAGTGTGAACAAATGCCTAAATAACCAAAGAATGGGTCTTATACTGAACAAAGGATTAAAAGAAAAATAAATGTTTGTTACAATGAAAGTGAAATAAGTAATGTCATTATTACCATCAGTTTTGAAAATTTGCGGAGTCCGACTCAGACTCGGGATGGTCATCCGAACCTCTCACCTTGGCCAATCCGAGTGAAAAACCGTGGGAACTCAGAACTGGAATCCCTGTTTCCCAAGTTTTATTTCACTGTTTCGAAATACTCGAGTTTGACTTGGGCTTGGGTGACTCACTTTGACCTGACAAAGTGCTTGCTCCAAGTGAAACTCCTCGGGGAGTGCCGAATCGTGCCTGCTGCCAAGGTTTATTTGTTATGCTTTTAAATACTTGAGCAAGTCTGACTCACTGACCCTGATCTGGGGCCCACCTGGTCCAGGGCTGAGTCTGAATTGAAAACTACTGTTTACAGTGGCTCCCTTGATGTAACGCATCTTTAAAATACCTCATTGGTACATGAATGTTGGACAATGTCAAATTTCCTAGAATGTGTTGTGATCTACGTTTTAGTCTTTTTAAAAATCAGAACCTACTAGCAAAATTCCACCTTTGAGTTTTTTGCATATCGATTCAGAGAAGATATCTGTGAGCTTGTCTTTGTGTTTTGACATGAGGTATTTTTGCGGTCTTCATCAACAACTTTTAGCATGTTAAGTGACAATCAACTTCATTGTACATGGTAGGTTAATAAAATAATAGGTTGGGAAGTGGAAATATTGCACCTGGTAGATTGATTTTCACAATTTATGCTCATAGAATTAGTGACTGGGTTGCCAACAAACCCCCACTTGTGCAAGTTAAAAAAAGAAAAAGAAAAGAGATAGTGATCTTAATGCTTTGGAGCACTGTTTTAAGCCATGTGTTTGATTTGTGATTCTATGTAACTGATCGCTTGACCGAACAACAATGCTATGTTGCTTACCTGCCACACCTTGTGGTGGATCTTCTATCTGCTGGGTAGCTGACCTAACTGCATTTGAGTATGTTAGAACGATTAGATGATTATGATTTTACACCAGGAGGGCCTTCCACATTGGATGTTTTTAAGTATCTCGAAATCCAAATAAACTATGTTTTTAAGTATCTCGAAATCCAAATAAACTTTGTTCATAATAGTAGCGTGTGGTTCATGCATTTTTCGTTTTAAGTTCTCGGTATCCAAGTAACTGTTCTCATATGAGAAGTGTGTGGTGCATGTATGTTTTGGTTCATATTCATGTCAAGATTGATATTTGGCCTGGTGATGTTGAGGTGAATCAGCAGGCCAGGCAGGTAGTCATTCTTTTACCATGGTCAATTCGCATGGTTAATTGAATTCACATAGCTCCTCATTCATTATTGTGTTGTGAACTTCAATTCCTAGGTTTCCTTAGAGATTATTAGAATGTGGCGAGTGATCCCGTCCATATTTCCACCCTAGTGCAATTGTTGGCATAATTATTGGGGTTTTAGGTCTAAAGTTACTGAACTATCAAACAAGGAAAAAAAAACTGACTATACTGAGTGCTTCTGTTTTATCTTTGCAGGGAAACTTACGTGTTGCAAGTGTATATGCGGGTCCTGATAGTATACAACTCACAGGAGCTGAAATAGTCTCTGAGCTAAGGCAGCTTTTGAAGTTATTGACTCTTTGCTTGCATTTCTCAAAGAAGCCATTTCCGCTATTTTTGGAGGAAACTGGCTATACCCTTGATGATGTGCTTCTTCAAGAGCCTAAAGCAGGGGTATGTTGTATTTCTTATTATTTTGCTTTATTGCATTTGATGTGCAAGACCTCTGATTTACCTTTTTAATCTATATATTGGGGACTTTCTGATAAATAAAATCACAAATAGGGATGGTAGATATCTTTTGGTCTTTGGATTGAAAGCTGATTCTGTTATTCTATACTATTACATTAATTTGGTTTGTTGATTATGTATTATTTTATGCAGCTTTTGAAGCCTGCTTTCACAATTTTGTCTGACAAGAGCTCAAAATGTTTCCTTCTATTGATTCGGGGTACTCATAGCATCAAAGACACTTTGACAGCAGCAACAGGTGGGGTTGTACCTTTCCATCATACAGTTTTACACGAAGGTGGTGTGAGCAATCTAGTTTTAGGTTACGCCCATTGTGGGATGGTTGCTGCTGCACGTTGGATCGCAAAGCTTGCTACTCCTTGTCTCCTTAAAGCTCTTTCTGAACATCGTGATTACAATGTTAAGGTAAACTACATTACTCCATATATCAATAGGCTTTCCTGACAATGTGAGCATTTGCTTTTGTCCATTTGGCCTGAGTAGTGGGGATGGCAGTTGATAAACTGTCTCAAAGGTGGAGCAGTCCAAATGTCTTGCTTTGTCATTCCGTCCAAGAAGTGTGATGGGAAGTATTTTTTTTGCGCTTGTTTGTATATCTTGGTGTCCATATCCAAGTCTTATCTTTAGTTGTCTTTATGGTCAATCATGAAAATACACATTTTCTAATGGTCATAATTAAGTGGAACAATATCCAAGTTTTCAGTGAGAGTGGTAAAAATGGTTTTTTATTTTTTATATGTATTTTCTTTTTAACCTAAAGCCGCCCAAGTGGGGTGTATTGGCAGGGTTTCACGATAAGTGGGCCTCTGTTATTTCATTGCATTGTGAAGAGTGGGGTGCCAAGCTGGCACACCACTCGCTCAGGCGCAACTATAATGCAATTTTATTGCTACGGCTAAAACAGGGGCTATCCAGATGGTCATAGCATACTGCTCATTTGTCTGATACAAATCTTGTTGGTGGCCTTAATGTAAAATTTTAAATCTACTAGCACATGTGGTTCCTCATATTTTATGGATTGGTCATATTTTGCAATAGCTAGAAATATTATAGTCATGAATGTCTATGGGAATCGCAGGATATGAAGACGGGCAAAAGACTCGGTTGAATTATACCATTTTTTGTATGAATAATATTAGATGTTGTTGAAGAAGTTACATGTGATGACTAATCGATTACATTATAACTTTTAAACATCAGCACCAATTGGTTTTATCCCAGCATTTTTGCTGGTTGAGAACTTGAGAGATTTGAGTATGGAGATGGGATTCCTATACACTATCAGGATCAAATATGATTTTTTAAATAACAGAAGATATCTCTATCATGTACCAAAAATGAACTACTGAAAAGAAAGTCCATATAGGTGAACAAAGGGGCTTCTATCAATGCATAATGTTGCTTAGAACTAGAAATGCATATCACAAAATTTTCTGACACATTTCATACCAATGCCAAATACCAATAATAATTCGACTGGTATATTTGACAAGAGGGTTCCTGGTCAGTTATGACTCTGGATCATCTTGAAGCCACCTTTCTCGAGCCCATTTTCAATTTTATAGGTTTGATATATAGGATATTTTCTTGTTGTTTTCATTTTCTTTTTGCCCCAACATTTTAAATGTAGTTCAGAATATTCCAAGTTTCTTTCTTACAGGCTAGATTGAAATCGTGGTTTTCTGTTGGGGTGGAAGTTGAATTTATGGGCATGTCTGGGTCTGATGGAAAGTAGGAATTTCCTAGGAATCACTTTATTTGGGCACAGGAACTCTAAAACTGGAGAAGAATTTGGTGTGCATGGGTCCTTTGAGTCTTCCATTGCTTGATTGAATGTTCTTATTTCATCGAGTAAATAACTGCTTTAACATCCAAGGTTCTGCGAGAATAATTAAGTGGAACTTCCTATGAACCTTTTGGTCGTACTTTAAAATTTAAGAGAATTCCTTAAAAAATTTTGTCATGGACATTCCATTGTCATGTGAGAAGGTTTAAAACTTGTTTGGATCTCGTCTTGTCCAAGTTGTTGCTGATTCTTGCATTGGTTGTTTAATGAAATGGAATTATTTGTTTAATGTTGGGCTGTTAATTTTTTATTGTTATCACCACTTGCAGGAATTGGTAGGTTTCTCTTTAACATTGAAATTAAAATGGATCTAACATGGTCTCCTGAATATATTTAGGTTGTTGGACACTCTTTGGGTGGGGGCACTGCTGCACTCCTAACCTATGTATTGCGGGAGAGGGAGGAGTTCTCTACCTGTACTTGTGTTACATTTGCTCCAGGCATGTATTTCCTTGAGACCTTGACTATTTATTTAATAATCTGATTGGTTAAATATTCTGACTGTTAATGTTCGTCGTTAATGTTTGTTGGGGAACTGGGTTTCCTTTGGATCATGTGTTGGATTTTCTGGCATGCCATCGATGTATTGATTCTTTTTGTTTCTTATTGTCAATATTCAACTCTAATGGTTGAACTAGGTAAATTTCACTATTGCCCACCTTTATTGCACTTCAGATCATATGACATGAAATGTTTAAATATGTGAACAAGCTTTTTGTTTCTCCTGCATCATTCTTTGAATTGTAATGTTTTGAGGGCAGACCTGAAATTGGGGCCTATGTCTGTGCCTTTGAAGGTTCAGCCTTGGGACTTCGGCTCAACTTCATGGCCAACCATCCATTATTGGTGAAGATAATCCTGTCAAGAATGTTTTTCTGTCTTACCTTCTTGTCGCCTTTGATGCTGCTATCATATAGTGTTTCTATTTTTATAATTTATGGGCATATAATTTTGTGCCTTTGTTCGTGTGTACGTCATCTTATCTTATTTTTTGTTTTAAGCAAAGTACATGCGAACGTTTTTGGGGTACATTTCCCTGAGCACTATGTGTTGTACGAGCTCGTGTCTCAGTGCTTCATTGAACTGCAATGCTGAATTAGTAAACTCTGTAGCAAATCAGGTTTCTAAAACTCAATTAATTTTCACTCCCTGAAGTACTTCTTTTTGGGGACAGGTTAGCATTGATGTAGGGCTTTGAACTCCATGCCCTAACTGCTGCAACACAGTATCTAATGTCCGAATCCCACTTCTAGCCTATGCAAAAAAGAAGAAGAAAAAAAAGAAAAAAAGAAAAAAAGAAAAATTAAAGGTTGTGGATTGAAGCTTCCATTTAAACATTAGCCACTAAGGGAATTCATCAAACCTTGTCATCTTCTAGTAAAAGTTTCTGATTGGGATTCAGAGTTACTTTTTGTTTCCCACCAGCATTCTTTTGTTAATCCTAGGGTTTTAAAAATCACCGATCCGGATTTCAATTGCCTAGTCCAGATCGAAAATTGTTGCGGCCGTTCTGTTCCCCATGATATATTGGGAACCGTCTGGTTCTTTGACATAATCAGTTGGTAAAGTCAGTAATTAGCCGGTTTTGTCAGAATAGAACTGACTTGAAATGGTCGCCCCATGTTATTTGCAATATTTGATTTTTTTTGAAAGTTGTGCAATTTTTTAATTTTTTTTTTTATAAACAAAGGGGCGGTGGCCCATCCCATATTTGATTACTTTTTCAAAGTCACTATCTCGTCAGCTGATCATTTCCCGCTCCTGCGTGAGCATAGCTCATCAAGTGGCTTGTGGTTAACGCTTACACCTTGCTGCATATGCCTTAGCCTTTTGTAAAGGCTTTTGCTTCTTTAAATCCCCGATGTGGGACTTTTTTCTTGCTTATTCAATCTACTGCATGAAACGACTTTTCTTGGGACATTTAGCACTATTGCACGGAACAAATAAATTTTGGGGTGTTGAATAGCTCTAGTGGTTCACTCATTTAGCACTATTGCTTGAAACAAATAAATTTTTGGGGTGTTGAATAACACAATTGCATGGGACATTTAAAACGAATAAATTGTTTCAAAAAAACACTGTCAATTTTTTTTTTTTTAGAATAGCAAAAACATGTCTGGTGAGAAAGCAAAAATGGAGGATCATAGCTTTTTCCCTGATTGTCATTTTGGTTTAATAAAAACAGGATAGCTCATTGTGAGGATCAAAGCTTTTTTCTCTCTATTAACTCAAAAGGTCCAAAGCTATTGTAGGATTCCTTTTTATTCACTACGAAAGTTTGAGTAATAGTGATCCATTTTATTGCAATGAGTTGTATTTTAAATCTTATTTTGACCATAAAATAGATGTAATGGATAGCAAACGCCCAGACACGAGACAAGTTCTTAGTATTGATGTAATACTATTTTTTTTAAACCGCAAAAACTAAAATTTTAAGAAACTATAGTATTTTTTGAAAATAATTTAATACTTGATCTTGCTGATCCGGCCAATTCTCCGATCCAGATCACCGATCCATTTATCCGACATGATTTTTGGGGTTGCCGATTCAGGTCACTGATCTGTTTTTTAAAACCTTGGTTGATATGAGTTTCTTGCTTTTGTCGCTTCTCTCACAGGGAGCTGATTAATTGGCTTGCCATTGACTGCAGCCATATCCTTTGGAAGATGTGCTGAATTGTCATCTACGAGAATTCTGGAAATATGGGCAGTGTAGAATCTTTAGAGGAAATTATTATGCTTTGTGACATGCTTAGAAATTGGATAAGGGCTTCCACCATTATTTGAAGCTAGTTATGGGGGAATTATATAATGTTAGGGTGGAGAACTATGCAAAAGATTGGAGAGATGTTTCACATAAGTCATGAGACCTATCCCTCGGTTCAATGATGCTAGATGGTACATTTAAAGGAAATCACAACTGCAGCTGCATTTGGAATGGGCCCTGTAGGAGTGGACTAACTTTCTAGGGACAGTGAAGGTTATGTTATAAAATGTCTTTGCCGGATTGGCTTCAAAGAGGTAGGTCTCTTATTGTGGAGGTGAAAGTCCTACTATCTGTGCCTTAGAGTTTTCTCCAAACAATTGCTGGGTTCTTTGATTATGGATGGTAATTTGTTGAATCTGATCGAATGGGTGTGCCAAAGAAGATAATCACCATCATCCCAGCCTTATCCCAACTGTTAGGGGTTTGACTATGTAGATCCTGTTCGACCGTTCTACTTTATCAAGGGCCATAACTTTAGTCAAACCAGTCACCGTATCTCTTCTCACTTCTTCCATCCATGTCCTTTTGGGCCTTTGCCTTGCTCTTTTAGAGCATTCCTCTTGAACCTTACTCCTCCCAAGCGGTGTTGTTCTAGGTCGATGTTGTTCATCGACTTAAGTTTACTTTCTCTCATCTTATCGCCTAAGTTTATTTTCTCTCATCTTATCGCCTATTGACGCTACCCCTAAGTTCCCTCTGATGTATTATTCCGAATTTTATCTTTTCTTGTCTTGCCACTCATCCATCTCAACATTCCTATCTCAACCACATGCATTTTATGGATATGTTGTTTGTTGATCGCCCAGCATTATATTCCATACAGCATGGCTGGTCTTAAGCCATCTTATAGAACATCCCCTTCAGTTTCATTGGTATGCGACGATCATACAAGACTCTAGAAGCACATCTCCACTTTATCCACCAAAATCTAAATCAATGCACGACATCTTCCTCAATCTCTCCATTCTCGTAGATTATTGACCTTAGATATCAAAAATAATATCTTTTAGGTACTTCTTGTCATCAATATTAACTAATTTTTTGTTTCTAATTCTATTATTACTAAACTTGCATTTTATATATTTTGTCTTAGTCTGGCTAATATAAAACCTTTAGATTCTAGAGCATCTCTTTAAAGTTTAACTTTGCACTGATGCTGTTTCTAGTCTCATCAATCAAAAACTGTCATTCACAAACATACACCACGGTACCTCATCATGTAGAGGCCTAGATAACTCCTCCATAACAAAAATAAAGAGATATGGGTGCAACGCTGACCCCTGATGTAGGCTTACTGTCACCGAAAACTCACTTTTCTCTCCACTAGTTGCCTTTACATTAGTTTGCTCTCCCTCACACATATCCCTCCATGTCAATAATATATTCTCTAGAGACTCGTTTGAACGTTTCTTTTCCAACATCCACCAAATGAAGTCTCTAGGTACCCTGTCGTATGCTTTCTCTAAATCAATAAAGACCGTGTGGAGGTCTTTTCTCTTCTCCTTATAAAGTAGCCTCATTGATTGACATCCCTAGCATAAAACCGAACTGATTTTTTGATACACGTTTCATGTTGTAGTCATTGCTCGATCACTCTCTCCCATAGCTTCAGAGTGTGGCTCATAAGTTTGATCTCTCGATATTGTGCTGCAGAAGATAATAATTTTTTTGCCCACTCTTCTTCCAGTAGTACAATCATTAACTTCACTCAACAAAAAAAAAGATAATAAATTTTTTAATAGATATCTAGAGAGTTTTACATGTCGAAAATTTCCTTTAGCTTTGCTCTCGGGGATGCCATTGAGGTCGCCCTCTCTGACTACAGAGGTGACATACCATTTGGATTGCCCTTCCCCTCCCATGACTTGACAAGTGGACAATGCATTGCTATTCCTAATCGTTATAAGTACCAGATGCTCTCTCGGTCTTATCGGTTGAACCATGAACTTGGCCTCTAACTAGTTTGTTTCTGTTTGAAATGGGTCAAAACTGTGAATTGGTTGGTGGACTGGTTTTGATTTGTTTTATAATTTTTTTTAATATTTTTCCAGATTGGTCTGACTGGTTAACTAGCTGGTCTGAATAGTTTGGATGGCCACCTGTCTGATTCTCAATCATTAGCAACCATTGCGCAAGACTTCTTAAAAATTAATCAGATGTAATTATTAAAAAGAAATATCATTTTTAATGATACATTTTTATGTAAAAAACCGTCATGTTAAAAATGAAAAAAACTATAAAGCCTCAAAATATTTATTCTATAAATTTATATACAGGCAATGATTATTTATTGCCCCATCCCATTGGGTTTCTTATGTTTCCATTGTCAGATCCTGAGACAATCTGATGCTCCTCTGTTGATGGAGAATGGCATACTTTCTGTTCATGGCTACAGATCTTCCCAACTGGTTGCAGTAGACGTCTGAGGTTGCATATGGAGTCCTTTATGAGTTCTTTGTGGCCCCTTTTAGGGGGTCGTTTCACCTATAGTACCAAGATAATTTGAAATTCTTTACGAAGAAGCCTAAAAATTAGTATTGAGGAGTCGTACGAAACGGGTCTTTAAAGTTGGCTTGTATATAGGTCCCTTCAATCCTCAGTTGCTGGTGTTACATTGAGCTTTTTTTGAAGAATCCACGTAAGATTGGAGGGGTTGCTGTAATGAAAAATTTGTGGGTGGTTAACCCTCGTGTAGGATTTTGTCCATACTTATTTGGTGAGGGCCTTTCTTTCGTTTCATGATTTCTTTAAAATGAATATGAGATTAATGCAATGAAAACCCAGTCTATCCCTTCTGAAAGTTTTGATGTAGAAATTAGTGTGGTTGATTCAGCTGGAAAGTATGTGAGGAAAAATTATTGGTTCCTTAGTGCAAATAAGTGATTATGAATCTATCTTATGATTATGGTCTAAGAAGAACTTGACATAAGAATGAACATGTGGAGGAGAGGAACTTGGCCGTTTTTGCAAGATCCATGGTCATGGAGTGATGGAGAAAGTCTTTGTGCCTTTTGATTGCTCACCTAGTTCATTGTAGTTTAGCTTCTAGGTATAGCATGTTCTCCAGTATGTGTCAATGAGCTGGTGGAATTCGTTAGTAACAGATAATATGGTCCAATTATAAATAAATGGAAGCTTATTATACAATATATTTGGAGGGACTCCTTGAAGTGGTGAACCCCTTTACCAACTTGCAAGCTGTGGTAATTGGGAACTGCATGAGTTTTGGGTCAGTGTACAATATTTAATTGGGGCACTGTGGGATTTGAGACCCTTGCATTGGGGCCTTTTAACTTTTTATTAGCTTTTGACGATATACATGTTTTGGGGTCTTGGACTATTCTCCTTGTTACTCTATAAAAATAAAAGAGACCACTTTCTCTTTGTGCTGCAATTTGCTAATTTATTCCTTTGGTGCTCTTCTCTTCATCTCCACCAAATACTACAAAATGTTACTATTATTTGGGTAGGCATGCTGTAAGCCATATGCATGTTTGTCTTCCTATCACTTTTGCTTTGATGGATTTATTCATTCTGGGGTTTTTCTATGTTCCTTACGATTAAGGTTCAAAATACAGGTGGATATAGGTCTGTAGCAGTGGGCTCTCTAACCATATAATATGGTAGTAGCTGATATATATCAGGGTTAAAACAGGAAAATCAAATATTATTATTTTTTAAATCTAAAGGTTTGATAGGATTTATTTGAAAATCATATTATGTAACAGAATTTAGGGAAATCCATCAAAATACACCTAACTTATCAACTATTTAACATTTTACTCATTTTCAACTATTCCAACTCATGATCATGCATTTCTTGGGGGGGCTTTGTGAATTTAAATAAAAAGAAATGGAAAAAATGTTAAAGGGTGCGGTTTGTATTGAGCCTAGGCTCTAAACAATCAAATTAGAGCCTACCTTCAAATAGTGTTGAGAAATGTGGTTTCAATACTGGAAATCTTTGTGATAACCTTAAAATATATTTTCATCTTTATTTATAAAGTTAAAGCTTAAAAAATTGTGTAGATCGACAGATCTATGAAAACTTGAAAATCTTAAAAATTGACGGTCCAAAAATGCGTTACAAAATACACTATTTTCAAACTTGAAATCCATTTTTTTTTCTCATGTCCATGTATCGTGTTGTCAAGATGATCAATTTGAGGGTATTTGGACATCAAAACAACCTCTTCTAGTGAAATTTTGGAGGTATGCTCTAATTTGATTGTTCAGAGCCTCGGCTCTATATAAACTTTTCCTAATGTTAAATAGGTTATCCTTTAGGTGCATTTTGATAAATTTCCCCAGAATTTGCATACGATTTAATGGTGTTGATCTTCTATTCGTTAATACGTTTAAAGAAAAAGTGTATATAACTCTTATTTTCATAGAGAATGGGTTTCACAAAGTCTATATCGCCCTTTTTTTTTTAAATCATAAAAAGAGGTTTATATATTGTTGAATTGATTTATAACAGCGCTCAAAACCTCAAAATCGCCAATATTTGACCATATCAAGTGATATGACTATATGGGGTACACCATCCCATTTCGGTTATGTATTACGGATCTGGTAAGGCCCGGTATGTTAGAAATGACTGCTATTTCTGAAGCCTTTTTCTGAATCACACTTGTGATGATTAATTTCTTATGTAGGGAAGTTTATTTGTTTGGTGAATTATGATTTGTATTTCATGAGGTTTATTTATTAGGTGCATTATGCTTTATATTTCATAAAGTTTATATATTAATGATTTGTATTTGATGAAATTTGTATGCGCAGCTGCTTGTATGACATGGGAGTTAGCAGAATCAGGTGTCTCCTTCATTACTTCCATAATCAATGGTTCGGACTTGGTGCCTACTTTCTCGGCTGCATCTGTGGATGATCTACGCTCAGAGGTGATTCTTGAGTAATTTATTTTATTCAATTCCAATTTGTAACTTGTTGCTAATTTCTAGGCTGTCATGATTCTTGAAAAATGTAAGGGCGGTATCTATAGCATGTTATGGGGCAAGGTTTAAAAAAATGCCGGGCGGGGGGCGGGAGGCAGGGGGCGGGGGGCTGCCTAGTGCCTAGGTGGCTGCTCAGAACCTCAGGTGCTGAGAGGTACGAGATATATACATATATGCATTTATGCGCTGTTGAAACGCACATATATGGCTATATATGTGTTGAATAATGCATATTTATGCATTTATATATATTCTTAACTAACTTTTTTGTACAAATATGCGTGAATGTTGAAGCACGTTCAAATAACTGAAAATTTTGCTACTTTGAATCACTAAAATGGTGAAGGGGGGAAAAAAAAAACACTAGTACTTAGTGTATTGGTGATTAAGTGTCTATACACCATACTCTATATTTTGTATGTCATACAGTCATAGTCAGACTCTATGTCTCCAATGAGACCAAATAACCAATACAAAATGATGTTTTACTTAAGATGCTATACAAATGAAAAGAAAGAGATCTCTAATTGTTCAATGTTTTGGATGTTTTATCCTCAATGTTTTGATTGCACTCAAATCACTGCAAAAGTTTTCTACGAACCCCTCATTTGAACCCTAAAATTGATTGTGAGAAGATATGGTAAGGTTTTGGATGATTCCACGAATTTCTCAAAATTTTTCCCATGTTGAAAAAATCACAAAATCCAATAATTTTGGGTGTTTCTAGGGCATAGGACGAGTTTTCTACTTTAGGCACCCAGGAACTTCTGCCTAGGCCTAGACAGGCGGCCTATGGCCTCTTGGGCACCTAGGTGGCTGCCTAGGTGCTGGGCGACTGTTTTTTGAAACAGTGATATGGGTTACAACCATAGGTTGCATTTGTTTGTGTGCATGCATGGGATTCTGTTTATGTAGACAGGTTAGACACTTGCTTTTCTACGATGTACATGCATCTAACTTGGTTAACAATTGAGTAAGTTGCGCATATCATTCTCATTTTGTTTTTCTCTCTACAGGGTAATATATTTTATTTCTTTCTAGTTTCTATGGTGTTACCTTAGTTTTTCTTCACTATTTGTGCAGTTCTTTACAAAGTGCTCTTGTTGAATGTCACTTTGAAACAGGTGACAGCATCTGCATGGCTAAATGATTTACGAAACCAGATTGAGCACACAAGATTTCTGAGCACTGTGTATCGGTCTGCATCTGCCTTGGGTTCTCGATTGCCATCCATTGCTAGTGCCAGGGCAAGAGTTGCGGGAGCAGGTGCAATTCTACGTCCTGTCTCCAATGGTACACAGGTATGCTTTACATTTTCCTCAAACACCAACAAACAATTTGATGTTCAATCTTATGCATAATAGAATGTCATGATATCTACCATTTTTGAGCCAAAAAAAAAAAAAGTAGTTCCCTGCACTTCTTTTACGTAGATAACAATTTGAAACGATGAGTTAGTTTTATTCTAAGAAAATAGGACGGTAAAAGAAATGAAATGAATATTACCTCACTTATGCACTGAGGAACTAAAAAAAGGTAAAGTATATTGCTGTAGGACCCACGTTTGGTTCCTACCTGAGTATGGTAAGGCTTTGTGGGCGGATACCAAAGGTTTAGGGTTAGCAAGGTATAAAGGCAGATCATAGTTGTTGGAAATGCCTGAGATTCTGAATCTTTATAGGAATCGAAATCATAGATTCGCGGCTGGTTGGCAGATTCCTGTTTTTGCAATCAACGTCTGTAGGAAAGGAATCACAGGAATGGGATTCCTATTTTACATGCATCAAGTTTCGACCCAGATTCTGACCGCTTTGGAATCGAGTTTCTTAACCTATTGGGAATCGACCCATATAGAAACGAGATGCCTACATTTATGGAATCGTGAATCCAACATCTTTGGAATTAAGTTTTTGATGTATTTGGAGTCAAGATTCATACCAGTTTGGAATTTAGATTCATATTAGTTTGGAATCGAGTTTTGAGCCACATGACAATTGAGATTTGTAACTCTATGGGGTTGAGTTTCAAGCCCTTTTGAATCAAGATCCTTCATCAACTACATCTCGTGCTTTAACAACTTAGAACCTCATCAACCAATTGAGATCAGAGGTCTCTAAGACCTAAATAAGGGTTTTGTAGATATGAAGTCAGCGTATTGAGTTATTGACCATTGAGCTCAGATAGTATCAAAAATAAGGTCAGTTTATAGACAACTCATATTCCTACTGAGGAAACTGTCTACAAAAGATACAAATGACTTTGTGACATGGTGTCAGTTGTGTTGTAGTCCTATGTGAATGTAAAACTATCTTCCAATTGTATTTTTAAAAAGGCATCCAATTCTAGCACTCTTAGAAACATGATTCGAGCCAGTCCTAGCACCATTAGCACTATCATTAATGCTCCAACGGCTAGTTATACTTGCCTTTGTTGCTTGGAAAAGACATTAGAATCATACATGTTGAGAGTACTTGTTAACTATAAACATTTGCACTTAAAGTTGATTCGTGTTACAAATTCTTTATCACTGCGTTCATTGGATTATTATTTGAAGCACTTATAAACCATGGGAAACAACGTTCTCCAATCAAGTTCCCAACTAACTGAAATCAGAATCCATAAATATTTGAGATGAGATTCCATGTTGAACAACACCAATACTTGATTTTGTGGAATCAGGATTTAAACAAAATTTGGTGTGGGATTCTATGAAGGTGGAAGCAAGATTCTATGTTGATTGAATTGCAGTTTCCTGCACCTATGAATCGGGGTACTTGATGTTGTGGATTCTGGATTCAGAAAAGAAAAAAAAAAAGGTCAAATTGAGATTCATTATATGTGGAGTCGGGAATCAACAAATGTAGAATCAAGATTTAATAAATGTTGGAATCGAGATTCCATTGTTGGGATGAGATTCAGAAAAAGTTGGAATTGAGATTCCTTAAATAGGGAATCAAGATTCTTGACTTCAAAGGAAATGGGTTTTGTAAAGATTCTTTGATTTCATCACCGGATCGGGATTCGAAGCGCAATGGCAGCTTGGGCAGAGAGATTCCGTTAACTATGGGGTAGATTAACTCCTTTTGTATTAAGTAGGAGTGGATATTAGGAGGCTTAAAGAGGTAGGACTTGGGCTAGGTCTTTGGTGGAGGTGGAGACTTTGGTGAGATTAAAGTATTGGGTTTGAATAGAGGGTTTAATGGAAGCGAATGCAATGGAGGCTATGTAGGCTATTGTTCTTCTTGTCATCTTCCTAATTTTCTGGATCTATTAAAATTCAGCAATCCTAGAAGGATCTAGGGTTGAATTGGTGCAAATTGAGGGCTTAAACTAAAGTTTGAACGCTACGAATGGCTGAGCATGTGGATGGGCTTTGTAGTACTTGTGGTATTGACTGAATCCAGTGATGATTCTAGCTGTGGGGAGTCTTAGATGGGGTTGTGTTACACAACAGGGCAAAGGAATAGGGTGCAAGCTTACATGAGGAGAACCTCAAATCCACAAGCTAGAGTTTTCAAGGAAGCACGTAACCATATGAAGAAGAGGGGCTCTACCCTTTGGGAGATACTCCCAAGCTTAGGCTAGAGTTGTAGAATCACTATCTTTACAAAGACGGTCGAGGAATCTCTCCTCTAGCTTACATGAGGAGAACGTCTGATCCACATGCTAGAGTTTTCAGGGAAGCACTCTACCATATGAAGAAGAGGGGCTCTACCCTTTGGGGAGACACTCCCATGCTTAGGCTAGAGTTGTAGAATCATTATCTTTACAAAGAGAGTTGAGGAATCTCTCCTCTAGAAGTGTTCTCTCACCACAGTTGAAACCCAACTTTTTTAATTAATCTGATTGTTTTTTGCCATAGGCCTAAATAGGTATATATAGAGGTTCAAATCCCTCTCTATTTCACTTCGACAGGGGCTCAAACTATCTATGGTTTTTTTTTTTTTCGAGCAAGTGTTAAATGGTTGTGTTATGCATGGAGTTTTTTCAAAATTCCTTTTCATACATGGAGTTGTGATACAAAAATAAAGAATAGCTACCCACAAGCTGGGCGCTGTGTACATAGCAAAGAATGCTTTGTCAAAAATATCTTTACATCCAAAAAATCTGCAATAAACACGTTACATCCATGTGGAAGTGCAAAACATTCGGGTGCCATTGCTCAAGAAGGTGCTGATAGAGTTGTGGTTGTGTTTCTTGAGCTTCAAAATTTGCCCTGCGTTACGTATGATGAAAAAGTTATTGCATTTGCCCCAAGCTATATAATCCTAGACATTCTTCCTTATTCTTTCAAAATGAGGTTATTGGTTCTTTTATAGTTTTAGAAAATAAGATTTTTACAAAATATGAAGGGAAATAATATTTTATTCAAAATATGAAATGAATCTTCTGGACTCTTTAAGTAAAATTAGTAAACTAACTATTGAAACTAGGGCAAAAACAGCTTACTAAAACTTTAATGAGTCAACTTTCTTGTCTAGGGAGTGCACTATCTTCCAGAAGATTGGTCTTCCTAGAAGATTGCCTAGGTTCCCTCTCAGGGGTTTCATGACTAAGAAACAACTTAATACTCTTGAGAAAATACAATTCGCCACTAATTTTCCCATCACATTTTCAACCATGATTTATCTAGAACGTCTTTGGAAAACCATTGGATAAGGTTGGTAGATCTCAAAGAGATCTTCGATTTAAGCTTTGGATCATCCCAAATGGATATCCTGGTGAAAGGTTGTGTTCTAAGTTGACTGATTCACATATTGTAATTCATTATCATCGTCAGTTCCCAAATAATCGGGTTGGGCTACACAAATCCTGGTCTGCATTTTGCTCTATTGAAGGCCATACCCTCAGTGAGGCTACAAGTCTCCATATCTTTTTGGACTACTCATGTCCTTTTGGGCCTACCCCTTGCCCTTTTCGGTCCTTCCACTTGAACTAACTCCCACCTCTGAACAGGTGCTGTACTTGATTGGCACCACACATGGCTAGCCCACCGAAGTCTACCCGCTCTCTTCTTATTGCCTATTGGTTCTACACCTAAATTCTCCCGAATGGATTCATTTTGAATTCTATCCCTTCTTGTCTTGCCACTCATCAATCTCAACATCCACATCGCCGCTACACTTATTCTATAAGTATATTGCTTTTTTGTCTGCCCAACATTCCGCCCCATAGAGCAAAGCTGGTCTCACAGCTGTCCTATAGAACTTACCTTTTAGTTTCATTGGTATGCGACGATCACATAAATTTCCAGTTGCACATCTCCAGTTCGCACATCCAGCTCTAATTATGTGTGTGACATCTTCTTCAATCTCTCTATTTTCCTGGATTATCGACCCAAGATATCGAAAGTGCGGTCCTTTGTACTTCCTGGTTGTCAATCTTACCTCGTCTCAACTCCCATTATTACTAAACTTGCGTTCCATATACTCTTGTCTTAGTCTGGCTACTTTTACAACCTTTGGATTCTAGAGCATCCTTCAAAAGTTCTAACTTTGGTTGACGCCGTTTTGGGTCTCATCGATCAAAACTGTCATTTGTGAACAATATGCACCACGGTACCCCATCTTGTAGGTGCCTAGTTAAGTCGTCCATAACTAAGACAAAGAGGTACGGGTTCAATGCTGACCCTTGATGTAGACTTATTGTTTGTACACTAGTTAGCGTTCCATCGTACATATCTCTCACCAAGTCGATGTAGTGTCTAGAGACTCTTTCTTTTCCAACACCCGCCAAATCAAATCTCGAGGTACTCTATCATAAGTTTTCTCTGTATCAATAAAGACCTTGTGGAGGTCTTTTCTCTTCACCTGAAACTTCTCAATCAGTGCTCAAGTAGGAAAATAGCCTCAGTTGTTGACTCTCCTGGCATAACATCATGTGGAGGTCTTTTCCCTACGCCCTAAAATTCACATATTGTAATTAAATGGAATATTTTATATGGGACTCAAAAGCTTTCCACGTTGTGTACTCGAGCATTGATTTTTGATCAATTCTATTGGTTGAAGGTCCCTATGCGTATGGGCTTCATTTCTTCACTGTCCTTCACTGGGAACCATTTGTATTGTGTTCTATTTGAGCACTATAGACTATGACTTTGGATTATTGTGCGTTTTTCTCTACATTAGATTTATACACTTTCAGTGCATGGAAAACCTTTATAAATCTTTTTGGATCCGTGATGAGCAAATAAATGCCACTCTTGAAACCAACTTCTAATTTGTGCCCAAAAATCCATAGGTGGTGATGAAGCGTGCGCAGAGTGTGGCGCGAGCAGCATGGGCAGGCCCCACCCTTGGCCTCTCCTCATGGTCATGCATGAGGGCACGGCGAAGGCCCCCACAATCAAGCCCAAAGCCAGATGAAACTCTAACTTTAAATGAAGCCTCAACTGACCTAACTGAGAGCACTGAATCCCTTCTCATCTCCGAAAAAACCGAAACAACGATCATGGAAAACCCAGAATACCCCTGCTCTGACCACGAGATGATGACCCAAGAACATGATGAAGAAGAAGATGATGATATAAGAGGTGAAAATATGACCGAGGATGAGCTTTGGGAGCAGCTTGAAGAGGAGCTGCATAGAAGGTCTGAGATTGATGCCTCGGCTTCTGAAGAGATAGAAAGAGAAGAGGAGAAAGTGGTAGCTGAGAGTATCGGACCTGCTGGATTTTCACCAGAATTATTGTCAGAAAATATTGAGACCCACCGGTTTTTCCCCCCTGGAAAAATCATGCATATAGTGACTTTCGAGATGGAAGACGGTGAGGGGGAAGGAGAGCTTGATGGGGAACACAAGGTCAGGATTTTCAGGACGCCAAGGTCATTGTATAGTAAGCTACGGCTCTCAAAAACAATGATTAATGATCACTATATGCCGATCTACAGAAGGAAAATGGAACAGTTGATCCTTGAGATTGAGGGGGAGATTGAGGCAAATGATGGTTGCTGTGTCAAAGAGATATAGAATTTCGATTTTTTTTTTTAATTATAAAGTAACAGATGTTTGTTGTAACAAAGGAGCCTCGGCAGATGCATTTCTCTTCTTTCTTTTTTTGACTTTTTTTTTTGGTTTGGTGGGGTTTTGGGGATTTGAAATCCTGAATTGTAAATATAGGGGATGGCAAAGGAAAAAAAGGTAGCATTGCTGTACAGTTTCTGTGGGTGATTTATGGTGGACGAGTTTTTCACAGTAAGTTTATTGCCATTTTTATCTCTAGTCTAGTGGATTTTTATCCAACGCAAGTCTCTATTTACCATAGATGGCTTGGGACTGGAGTTTGGTTTAGTTCTGTTTTGGGGCTAAAATGGAGAGTGAAAGACAGAGAGAGCACATAAACCAATGGGAGGTGTTCTACTCTGCTTTGGCAAGGCATCAGATCCACTGCAAGTGATGATTCTGGAGATTTAAGTCGTCGGCCGCACTCTGGTTGATCTTCGCCATCCATCATCACAAATGAACAGTGGATGCCCCTTTGAAATGACAATAGCTGTAGACCATCGGAAAATTGTATGTATTTCTCGGTATATATGTTGTTTTCTCTACTGCAAATTTTCAGATGAATTCACCATATTACTCAAATAATGTCTCCCGAGATACTTCCGTTGTTTCTTAACTAAACCTTGAGAAAGTATGGACCAACTCCTTTGCTAGCAGCCCATGAACCCAGAACAGAACAACGCACTACCTGCGCCTCGGTCTAGGTTTCTATTATTACTAACACATTTGAGAAGTACTAACTATTTTTTTAAAAAAAAGAAGAGTAGGGGTTAGGTTTCCATTCATCATGAATCTTTTTAAAAACAAAAGTCTTCTGTCAATTTGTAGAAAGAAAAATTTGTCCTCTATAGGCAATCAGAATCTCTCTCTATATATGTATATATAGGGAAATGACCTTGTGAGACCATTTCACACCCATGTGCGTAGGATTTTAAAGGATCACCATTAAATTTGGTATGGATCTCTAGAAAAGTTAAGATCCACACCTATGCGATAATTTTTTTAGAGATATGTGTCAAATTTAATGGTGATTCTTTGAGATCCTACACATA